CCGAGGTCTTGAGGGGGTTGCCCTCAGGATGTGGGGCGTTGCACGGGGGCGGAGCGGTTGCCCGGAGGATTTCGGGGGGTGCACACAGTTTGGGGGCGTTACAGGTAGGCTGCGGGGTGCACCGACGGCGTGGGGCCCTGCAGTGAGGATTTGGGGGCATTGCACGGGGTTGCACTGAGGATATGGGGGAGCTGCACTGAGTTTGTCCGGCTCCGGCGCTTCCCCGCTCTTGCACAGGGAGCTCGAGGCTGCGGGCTGCTCGCGGCAAAGGGGCTGGGAAGAAGCCGCCTCATTTACATGCGGGAGGAGCGGTAGCCAATGAAGAAGCGTCTCGGGTGCCCCAGACCTAGACGGGCAGGCTCGGCGGCCTACGGGCGCTCTGAGGGGGCGGGGCCGAGCGGGGGCAGGCGGGGGTCTCGGGGCCGGCTCCGGCCCGGCGCTTGGTGTCAGTCCTAGCCCGGCAGCGGCGGGAGCGGGAGGAGGCGGCAGGTACCGGCGCCCCCGGGGTGGCGGGACCGCGGCTTAAAGCGGGGGCGGTCCCCCCGGCACCGTCCGCCTCTGGGGCAGTCCCCCCGCCCCTAGGGGCAGCCCCCTCCCATAGTGAGGGGCAGGGCCCCCCCCACCTCCTAGGGGCAGCCCCCTCCCATAGTGAGGGGCAGGGTCCCCCCACCTTCTAGGGGCAGCCCCCTCCCATAATGAGGGGCAGGGCCCCCCCCACCTCCTAGGGGCAGCCCCCTCCCATAGTGAGGGGCAGGGCCCCCCCCCACCTCCTAGGGGCAGCCCCCTCCCATAGTGAGGGGCAGGGCCCCCCCGCCCCCTAGGGGCAGCCCCCTCCCATAGTGAGGGGCAGGGCCCCCCCCACCTCCTAGGGGCAGCCCCCTCCCATAGTGAGGGGCAGGGCCCCCCCCACCTCCTAGGGGCAGCCCCCTCCCATAATGAGGGGCAGGGTCCCCCCCACCTTCTAGGGGCAGCCCCCTCCCATAGTGAGGGGCAGGGCCCCCCCGCCCCCTAGGGGCAGCCCCCTCCCCATAGTGAGGGGCAGCTTCATGGGCAACTTTGGGTCCAGGCTTCCCCCCCACTGCACCCCAAGTTTCTCCCCTCCCCTAGAACAGCCCCCTGCTTCCCCCTTCCTGTCTCCCCCAAACCCTCCTCCTTACCCTTTACACTCGCAGACCGCGCCCTCCCCTCCACCTTGTATGACTTCTGCATGGATGTATGTTGGGAGAAGAATTACATCACCCAAAGGAACATTATGGGGAGTGTGGGTGTTTTGGGGGGGAAGGGGGAGGATGAATTACACCCCCTCCAATAGGGGAAGTTTATAAAATGAGATGGTTTCCATTTTAATATTTCTGCCGAGAGGAAAGTGAGGGGGGATATAATTCCCCTGCCCTCCCTCCCCCCCAATAACCAACCAGTAACATAGAGACCCTGGTCTAGGAGGTCATGAAGAACTGTGGACAGAACTGCTGTACTATTGCATTGTGTATATTTATTGAAAGCGCTGTGTAAGAGCCAGGTGGTAATTGTAACATTGGAGGAAGGTAATTGAGGAGGCATGGAGGAAAGGGGACGAAGGAACTTGGTGGGATGTGGGATCAGGAAGAACCTGGAGAACGGGTGGGTTATTTGTGCTGTGGATAAAGGATCCCTGGTAAGTACCACAGGAGGAGCCTCCTGTGTATGGAAGGTGTGTGCGATTGGAGTATCTGTGTAATTGTCGTGGTCCTTACCCTTGGGAGGTAGCTCTATCTTATGCTCTGCTCCTAACCAAGGATTTCAAATTGTTTTTTACAAAACACTTTTATCTGTATAAATGCAATTATGCAAGGATAGGGAAGGCAGTGTCCTTTGGTTGTGCTAGGTTTTTTTTTTTGCTTTAGGATCTGCTGGCTGGGGTTACTTTTTTTTGTTGGGGGGAACGGAATGTTAAAAAAAAAAAGTCAGTTTAAACTCTTGTGATGTGCCCTTTGTACTCTTGGAGAGTAGGCAGAATCTGCGGGTGCTGTTGAATTCTGAAAGAGCCAGGTGAAAGGACCGGATTAAATCAAACCTTAAACAGATGATTGAGGGTGAGGGGGAAGTATGTTTCAGTTTTCACAGTACAGTCATATCGGATCTACCCTGTGCGTGCCTCCAGCAAAATCAGAGTAGATGCAGAATCTGTTTTAATCTCACTCTGCACGGAAAAAAAGTGAGTTAAGAGTCTTTGCTTTGAATATTTGGTCTAATTGTGTTACAACTGTGATATTTAAATATCATTTTGATCTGGAAATTTTAAGTTAAATTGACTCTGCATCCACCCTGTTATTATTCCAGTCATTTAAAAAGTTATATATAGATTAATCTTCTTTGTCCTATATCTGAGATTTCACCTGTTTTCAGACTGAAATGTCAAACAATTTTAGATCAACTGATTGAGAAGTGGTCTACTTTCACTATAGGCAGCCCTGTATCCTTTGCTGAAATACTGTTTTGTAACTTCCTACAGCAGTGCTCTTCAATGAATCGGAACATGGTCTGCAGCCATGATAATGGTGCACTAGGAGAGGATGTTTTTTAATCCAGTTATGAAAGCACAGTGTTGTCACAAAATGAGGTTCCTGTGTAATGACACTTACCTAAAAATGTCCCATGGATTTTTAAAGTAAGCATAGAGAATATAACTCAGTGCAATTATCATATATAACCCAAAATAAACATGATTGAAGGCTCTTGCCCTTGCTTTTTCTCTCATTCCATAGCCCAAATAGCTCGGGTAAAGTTGCTATTTTCCTGCTGCTAACTGCATATTCAGACGTGCATATCAGTGCCACAAAGGAATATTATTTACCTGAAGAGCTGTAAGAGCCCTTGAAGGGTAAATTCAGAAATAATATATAATGTCTCCAGATAATTAATTCTGGTTCATATTTCCAGTGCTATATTCAAGGTTCCTTCTTTGATGCACCATTTAATTGATCCTGTCTGTGAGTGAAATTGACCATCTTAAACAAACCCGAGCTTTGCTATGTTCAGTACCACAGTGTAGACAATGCCCTTAAGGTGCCAGTTTGGGGAGTGTCTTTTCATCAGATGAGTGAATTGATTCCATTTAAATATTGCTTCCTCAAGTATCAACCTTTTTTTTGGACAGATCATTTAACTCAAAAACTTTCTCTACATGGTGCTGGGAAAGATGCTTATACTTGATTTCAAACACTTAGGTTTGGCACTATCCACGGTGACTGTGTTAGAAATGTTTCAGAGGAACAGCCGTGTTAGTCTGTATTCGCAAAAAGAAAAGGAGTACTTGTGGCACCATAAATAGGATTGAAAATACTGTTTACCCCATCCTCATTGATTAATCAAGTTGTATTAGAGAGAGGGTTACCTGGAACCATGTCTGAACACTGCCCCATAAATATAATTGTGGACCAGGAACCAGAGAAATGCTGTTTGGCACAGGTTAAAACAAGACTGGCTCCTTTTGGCAGACTTCATAAAGATGCAGTTGGGTTGGGTCAAAATAAGGTATTCCTAAGTGGAAAATGAATGAGGGCAAAGGATGTTGCTCTCAATCTACAAATTCTGCTTTGAGTCCTGTATGTTCTGGCTTTTAATCTTTTTGAATTCTATTTAGATTCAATTTTAAACACTGTAATATACGTCACAGGCTCTTGAATTACAGCAAGCATTTGAGGGGTATAAAAAACAAGGAGGCAGAAGAAATGATACTGAGATCCAAAACATAGTATCAAGTAGCGGTGGGATGAAACTGAGAAAAGAACAATTTGTTTGCAGTGCTGTGGGTTTTTTTTTTTTTTTCAGAACAAAGATGTAGTCCCTGCCCTGATGATCTTATGATGTAATATTAGATGCAAAGTCATGAATGAGGGCAACAAATATTTAGGGTGTAGGAGGATGAAGGGGAGTGGAAGGACAAAGTGTTGCAGTAAGATCACACACTTAATTTAGGCACAAACATGTCTTGGTATTAGAGTTACTTTAAAAAAAATGTTTGGGGCATTTAGGTTAAATAGCAGGAAAAAATACCAAACAGTAGGATCAGTTACTGTGCAGTAATCTTCCAAGGGGTTGAAGCCCCACTGGCTGAATCCAGGAGGTAAATGTGCTTAGTGGTTAGAGCAGGGGACTTGAGAGACAGAGCAGGGTTTTGTGCCTGCCTCTGTCACTACATTTTGTCCCCTAGGGAAGTCACTTCAACTCCTTATCTCTGGTTTTCCCCATCCATAAAACAGGATTAAATACCCATTTGGCTATGCAGTGTTTTGAGAGCCTCTAATAAAATTATCTGTACTTACAAAGTATTTCAAACTGAGTTGGACAAAACACTAAAGGATGATGTACTATAGAGAAAAGCCCTAATTAGGCAGGGAAGGGACAAAATAACACTGTAGGTGTGTTCCATTTCTGACTCTTACTATGGCCTGGGCTACACTTAAAACTTAGGTTGACATAGCTACAGCACTCTGAATGCTTCTGTCGATTTAGCTACTGTTGCTCAGGGAGGTGGAATTCCTACAGTGATGAGAAAAAACCCCTTCCGTTGCTGTAGTCCACCTCTATGCTACAGGGTTACAGCTGCATAGCTGCAGCACCATACCTATGCTGCTGTAACAGCGGAAGTGTAGACAACTATACTCTACACAGTGATGTACATTTTACACATGGCTTTACAAAACAAGGCATAATCCTTATCCTGAAGAACTTATATCCTAATGTGGACGAGACAGAGACAGATGCAAGGCTATATGGAGATAAAGATGAGGGAAGGAGAATGAGGAGGGCTAGTTGGTGAAGAGAATGAGGATTCTTGGGGAGGAGGGATTCAGAAAAATAAAGGGTGGGGCTGGCAGATTTTTCTAAGGCCAGTGGAGAGTGTGAGAGCGAGAGTAAAATTGATAGTAAGAAAGATGAGGGAAGCAGCAAGGCAGGAGAACTGGGAGGAATGTAGGAAGGAGGTGTGGGAGGGAAGACATGGAAGTGTAGGAGGAGATTAGATCCAATGTCATTGGGGCTGAGTCTATGAAGGGACTTGAAGTTGAGGAAAACAAGCTTGGATTTGATACGTGTAAGGAAGGGTGGGATTTTAGGAGAAGGGTAACTTAATCAGAGCAATGACCAAGGAAGATGACTTCAGCATGAGCTTTTTGAAGAGGCTAGAAAGGGGAAAGTTACAGTAAATGAGGCAAGAGCTGAAAACCCTTGTCCTCACCTTGCTTATCGGTGAGACTAGTGAGGGAAGAGTGGACTTTTGTGAGACGTTACTGGAATAAGTAACAATTTGAGTGAGAGACTGCATACATAGGAAGAAGAATCACGGATGATCTCAAAGTTGTGAGTATGGGAAAGAGGAAGGATGAAGTTTTCAATGATAAAGAAGGCAGGTGTTGCCCACCCAGAACCCTGAGCAAGTCACACCCCTTGATTGCAGTATAGACATAATGATAAAAAGGGAGAAGAATCCTTTTGAGTTGGCTGGGAGTGGGTTGTCAGTGATGGAAGGCACAGTACCCTCAATGGAGAAGGCCAAAGTCTAAACAACATGCTAGCTCAATCTAAGACAAGTCCACACAACAGAAGGCGAGAGGGACACAGAGGAGAAGGCCAGGGAAGGATGATTTTAAGGAGAGATGTGAAGACAGGGAAGGGCCAGTAAAGTGAGTCTTTCAGGGAAAAGGAGAGTTGTGTGGAAGGGAAAAAGATAGATTTGAGAGGAGACAGGAAGAAACTGCTATAGTCCTAGGACTTTCGCTAAAGGCTTGGGATACTAACTAGTACCTAGTGTATCCATTTGAATTCACGACAGTTCTGTCTGTTAGGCAACTGTGAGACCCCATGTGTTAACATCCTTTGAATTAAGTAATAGCAGTTTTATTTAATATCTATTTATAATACAGTTGTTAGACTATTTAATGTTCTAGCTTACTAAATCGATATTTATATGGGGAGCGTTTCTGAGTTATTTTGAACACCTTTTTAAAAGCTTTTTCATATGTTGTGCGATGTAATAGAGAGTAAAAATATGCTCCCAAGAAAGAACTTTTATCCTAAATTTAAGCTCAAACAGTTAAATAATAAACCCCTGAAAAGAGATTAATGGGAGCAGTCACAAATCAAACTGTATCATTCATAAACATCAATATGTTACTACATAACAAAGTGGGCTTTAACGGCAAGGTTGCTTAAGTTTTGTGTGTGAGCCAGGCTAGGAAGGAGCATTTGCCCGGGGGATTAGTTCATGGGTATTCGCTATTAAGACTGAAAGAAATCTTATAGGTGGTCTGGTACTTCCCCCTGTAGTGATGTTTCAGGTCCCTAAAGGGGAATCTCCTTTAATACTTCTGTAAAGTTTCCGAATTTCTCTAAGTGTTGTTGTACACTTAGCTGTATAAAATTAGGGAGAATAAAAAGTTCCGGGGCTGTTGCTGCCTTAATTTATTTAATTGAATAACACTTGGGGTGCGCTTGCCAATGTTGGCTAGAAGTAGTTAGGTGCCCAACTCCTGCTGAAATACTATAAGCCGAGCACCTAACTAATCTACACATCTTTTAATTTATTTATTTTTTTTAAATCTCACCCTTCATTTTGTGTCTGATATTGGACCTCCTCTCCCCCCCCCCCCCCCAAAAAAAAAGATTAATTGGTTTAAAAAAATGTATTGTGACATGGAAAAGTGTCTGTAGCTACATGGTTCTGTAAATGTTCAGTGCTTTATGGAAATAACAGCCCCTGAAGAATTTACATCTAAAATGTACGGGCTATTTTTGATATATTGAGATTGTGTAAATGTGGTTGTTGTCATGACAAAAACCACATAAACATGTTTTGAAAGCATCCCCAGTAGTTACAGAATTCTATGTATAAAAGCTCTGATCCCCTGCACCGTTGGGCCCTCAGTCAGTGATTGAAATTGTTTTTCAGACACGGTGTCCAAAAAAGTACAGGGACTACTTAAAATTACATTAATCAAGAACAATTTGCGGGCAGTAAGATTATACAATTATTATTAATCCAGAACTACGGACTGTCCCTTATTTAAAAGTTCACTTGGTTTTTCCCCAAAAGTATAGCGTTCAGACATTTGATTAGAACACAGATAGTAAACTAATAGCTCCCAGAGGCTCTGACCAGGATTGAGCCACGTTGTGCAAGGTGGTGTAAACTACTGTAGTATTTGTATTTCAACGGTATAGAATAATCAAGTGACGGTGGCCCAGCCTCACAAGTGGGCGGGTTGTGTATTCTTGTTTGAAACCTGTTGCATGAGTGAATTTTATGAAGCGCTGGTGCACAGCAACACTGACACAGAGGGAAGCTTTGCAAAAACTACTTTTAAAAACAGTGTGGTCTGTTTTGAAAATAAGGCGTCAAGAGAGTTAGCGAAAAGAAAAGGAGGACTTGTGGCACCTTAGAGACTAACCAATTTATTTGAGCATGAGCTTTCGTGAGCTACAGCTCACTTCATCGGATGCATACCGTGGAAACTGCAGTAGACATTATATACACACAGAGACCATGAAACAATACCTCCTCCCGCCCCACTGTCCTGCTGGTAATAGCTTATCTAAAGTGATCATCAAGTTGGGCCATTTCCAGCACAAATCCAGGTTTTCTCACCCTCTGTCCCCCCCCCCCCCCCCCACAAACTCACTCTCCTGCTGGTAATAGCCCATCCATAGTGACCACTCTCTTCACAATGTGTATGATAATCAAGGTGGGCCATTTCCTGCACAAATCCAGGTTCTCTCACTCCCTCACCCCCCTCCAAAAACCACACACACAAACTCACTCTCCTGCTGGTAATACCCTTCAGGGTTTTGAGCAGCTCTGACCGCCACTTGGGGGAGCTATAATAGCTTTAAACTGCAGATACCTGCTTTGATTCCATTCAAATAAATGGGAAACAGGAAAAACTAGCAAGAAAAAAGCTATAACTTATTTTCTGTAGGTTACTGGGACATAGAATAATGGTGGGGGGTTCTATAAAGCCTGAAGCACTGGTTGCACTTGGTCTGGTCAGTCATATGAGTAACAAGGTTTTTTTCTGAACAGCAATTGCAACTGAAATAATTTTTTTGGGCCATCCAGACTTGGGATGATGCAGGCGCTCTGCTTAACTCTCTCGTTAAAAGGCCAAACTGACTGTAGTTTTCACTATAGCCCTCAACTTCACAAAGAGTATTCCTGTTAATGATGAAAAATAGAATACAAGAAGAGTAGTTATAAAAACACTTCTCACTCAGCCAAACTACAGCCAGTGTCCCCTCTTCTCTGATACAGTTGATAAGATTTCTGACATGTGGGTTGCCACTCCGATCCCAGTGTAAACGATTATTGCCTTGACTCTGTGAACTAGTTGCTGTTTCAAAAAGAGAGGTTTTTAAGTTTAAAACATGCTCTCCCATCCAACGATGAAATGTGCATGTCCATGAGAACACTCAGGTCCCTGAGCATCATCTGAGGTATTGAAGACCTCCCATATTGCTGGCAGTATAGAGAGCTGAAAATGCCCCTTTTTTCCAATTAGACTTTAAATTTGCAGTATGTTACTTTTCAAAGACATCTGAGAGAGGTTTTGCTGTACACCTGATTGAGTGCATAAATATAAAAATCACCTTGTGTTGTGTGGAGATCAGTGGTGAGATTATCCCCTCTGGACTTCCTACCATGGAGGAAGGAAATTAGTATAAAACCTGCTCTTCTTGACCAAATTTGGTTGAAAATATCATCCCTCCACCTCCTGAGCCAGTGGGAGGGGTGGCTTCTGCAATCTCCATATGAGTGGAGGGGAGGGCTCGTTTGGGGAGAAAGTCACCTCCCTGCAGAGATCTTTCCACTTCAGATAATGGTAATGCTTTCTCAGCTTGAGAGAGAGATAGATATAAAAATGTGCTCTGCTGTCGACCCCTGACTCTTCTAGGAAGATGGAGGGAGGCCCAGCTGAAGGCATGAAGAAGAGTCATCATGAAGGAACCGTGCTGCTGGTGGAGAGTCAGTAATGTCGACACAGTGAACATACCATCCTAAAGATGCTACCAGGATCTGTGCAGATAATTCTGTGGCTTTTGGAACATCCATAGCTTATTGGAGCCGAGCTGCACTACCCACCCTTCCCAAGTCCCATGTCTGATTTGGAGAAAACTGAGCTGACACTCATGGCATTTCCGGGCCTTCCCAAAGGAAGCATGACTTGGCCGTGCAACAATCTTGTATTTCAGTATATACAGGAATTATTGTTCGCCCTGGTGCTTAGGATTCAGTATCAACACTAAACCATTTATGTACACAGGGCTTAAAGAAGTCTCAGGTGTACAGCTATTACTTGGGCTGCCCCACCATAATGCCTGGTGGCTCCTGTCAGATTGCTTAACAGTGGTGCTATAGTTTGCTGTGATGGAAAAACATTGGGTTAATTGGTAGTTACTTTTCCTCCTTGTGGTTACACCTGCAGTCTTTCTCGAGCCCTAAGTTCACCATTAAACAGTACAGACTCTTCTGACTTTACAGGGAACTACTTTTACTGTGGATCCAGCCTTCCCGTTTATACCAACCTCCGTTGTCTTGTAAACACTTTAAAATATTCAGTTGCGTCTGCATCTCAGCCAGTCATTTACCACATTTCACTTGCAAATTTCCCTCATGATTGTAGGATAAGATTAATTTACGCTCATAAGCCACGTCAACTAGACCACTGATCTCTAGTGTCGTGGCTAGAGCAGAGGCCTGAGGAGTCCGCATAAGTTTTATTGCCAGGTCTGTCACTAACCTTTGTATCACTTAATATCTGTGGGCCTCCATTTGCCCCTCTGGGAAATGGGTAGTATTTGCCTTTCAGTGATCTCTTATGCGTGTAGTTTGTAAGTCACCATGAAATCCTTGGATTAAAGGTGCAGTATATGTGCACAATATTATAGTAGCAGAGTGTAGGATTTCTAATATAACAGGCGTTTCGGGAGCTAGGATTCCCTAAATTACAGATCAAACCACTTGGGAGGCCCACGATTCTGCAAATACTAAAGCGGATACTTAACCTCAGTGCCTAAAGTTAAGCACATGTGTAAGTCTTTGCAGATTGGGGTTTAGTGATCATTAGCTTTCTTCTAGTCTCCCTTTATATCCCCGGGCTAAACTCTTTCCTATCCTTGTGCTCTCCTTACCCTATGGAATCTGTAGAGTGTATTCTCTGGGACTGGCTGTGGCCTGTCAAGCAGCAACAGAGTTCCTCCAGATGGAGTCTTGCTATTTTCTCTCTTCTTTTTAAACTGAAACACTGGGTTTTCAAAACTCGTCCTCCGTTTTAAAGCAGCTCTGAAGAGATTCCTTATCATTGTGG